TTTCAGTCGTCACGGAAATCACAAAATTTAGATTCAAATTTCAATCACTCCATCCATCGCTGATGCATATCATTTCACTTCCATTTCCATGTTTTACTTGCACTTTAACATTTGTGAAAATATTTATGATACAAGAGAGAAGTAAATTGAAAAACGATAAATGAAATTTCCGCTTTTTAAAATTTTTTTCTGTTCTTTTGCTGACATTGAATGAGTCATTTAAAATTATAATATATGGCAACTTATTGTTATTTCGCGTACGAAAAGACAATTTTTAAGGCAGTAATTAATGAATTTTTGAATTATTTTATGAAATTTACTTTTTACGAAAAAAGAAGCCAATTTATCTCCCGTGATTTCTGGTTAATTGTGTTTCATAATATCGTTTTTTTAATTACTATTTATTGTTTTAGCTGCAATTTCACATTCATCGTTTACATTACGCGGTATTGATAAAATATTAAATTCATATATTAGCGCTGAAGAATATGATGGTTATGAGGAATTACGAAGGAAAACGAAGAATTATTATTTAAATAATATCGATATTAACAATAAATTAGCGGTTGCTCGAACATGCGAAGAGGCTAATTTTTACTGTTTGCTTATTTCAATAAATATCGAAATAAAATGTGAAATTTTGGCTTTATCTCATTATGATTGAGTAAATTGAAACTAGGATAAGGCCGCATTTTAATTATGGTAATTGTTAACCGTTTGAATATCTGAAGGCTATCGATAATTCATGTTGCAGACTACTTTTCACTTCATATTTTCAAAAAGATTAACTAAAATTTATCAATTTTATCATAATATTCAAATTTTTTTTAGCAATTTAAAAGGATTGGAATAATCATAAAAAATTTAGTTCATGAAATATTCCAGAAGTTTTACTAATTCCTTCTCTTCTCTTTGTTAAAAGTACGGGTGAATTTTTTCTCAAAATTTAATTGCCTGAAAATGTAATTCACAGTTAATGGAAAAGAAGATATTGAATAAATAATTTCGAAAAGATTGACGAATATTTATGAAATAATATTTCAGCTTTCCAGCAATTTATTTTTAACTAATGGTACAGCTGAATACGCTGAGAAAATGATGAAATTGAATCACAAAGTTTACCTTTACTCATTTGATTATTTCAATCCAAAAAGTTACGGTATACTTTCACTTATTGTGCCATTCAAAGGTAAACCAAAGCGATGTTTCTTTTCTCTTTCTTTTAATTCTTGAATTTATTAGCATTATCAAAATTCTGATAATATTCATTTAAATGCTACAAAATAAGAAATACAGTTAGCGTCAAATATACTTAGTACTTTTTATTGACCTTCGGTTCGCTTGACCATAATGCAAATTATTTAAACAGCTTGCATCAAAGAAATTTAAATAATTAAGCGAAATTCTTTTTCACCGACATATTGGAGAAAAAATGATACGTTGGAGAAAAGTTTTTGTCGCAAATGTTGAAAAGCAATTATCAAATATTGAGAAATAGCTTACTTTAAGATGGAATCATATCCATCTGTAATATTGCCGTATTTCTTTTCTTTAGATTATTACCGGGAAAAGCAATCCACTCACTGTGTACAGCGTTCACTTATTGATATTAACATTTGTTTCAGAATTTCATTAAGAACTAGTAATTTAGTTAGTGTAAGACTAAATTATCGAATCTTCTGAGTTTATCAGTGAATTTTCTGAAGCTCTTAAGCCGTTTATTTTTTGGATGTTTCTTTCACTTCAGAAAGAAACAAATTTTACTGAGAAGTTCATCTTTCCCATCTTTTACTTTTTCATCTTT